GGCAGTTAATGTAAGGGGAGAGTTCTCCTGAATAATTTACTCTCCGGTAACTAACCTTCCCCAATACACACTCAACGTCTATCATGCAGCACAACCAAAACAGTAACATTGTAACAGAGATCCTGAACGCATCACGATAAAATATCATACGATATAATCACACACACACACACACACACACACACACACACACACACACACACACACACACACACACACACACACACACACACACACACTTTGAACTACACTGAAGTCTAACCTATGTCGTTATAAGATTATATATTATAAGATTGTGCCACTTGCTGTGTAAGATTTAATAATTAGGATTAATGTGCGATGTTGACCTATTGACCTATTGTGATAAGCAAGAGCAAGGTCAGAGTCCTGACTGGCCTCTGGCCAAGACCTTGGCCGCTACCTGACACCTGCAGCTGTGTTTGGCTGGAGGACACGTGGGAAAGTTACCCAGCAGCAGGGGGCGGGGATACTGGTCCCTGGACAGTGGTGATTGGACAGACAGCGTCACGGAAGCTAAAGAGCAGACGAAGTATTGTGTGTGCAATGAACAGGGCAGAGCAGAAATAAACACAACACTGCTTGATAAGATTGTTAAGTTTTGCTGTGTTTTGGTGAATATGTGCCCCAGTGTGGTTGTCAAACCAGGGCCAAATGAAACTTGCTCTTGTTGAGTATTCATAAAGCTGTTGTGTTGCATGTGTAGTTCATTGTAAATAATTGTACTTTGTGTGAAGTAGTTTCAATAAAACAGAAAAGAATAGTATATTTATTTGTTTGTTTTTCATTCTTGATCTGTTCACATGTACTTAGCAAGTACATAAAAATGAAATGCAAACTATTTACATGGCAACACACAGCTGGCATCAATCTTGAACCAAAAAATGAAACATTACAGGTTATTTGGAGCAGCACGTTGTTTGGAGAAGTATTTCCAAACAAGTTCAGGAAGGCACACTTTAAGAAAGAAGTCTTGTGCTTGCTTTAAATGCGGTTCCCAGAAATCCGAAGATGCGTATCACAGCAAGGTCTCTCTGTGTCCACACAACGAGGTCACAGTGGTTGCCGCCGGTAACAAAGATTTGTGTTTGTACCTGACAGTAGTATGGGTGCGCCCGCTTCAACTGAAGACCATTAGCAGCTACCTGCAAGAAAAAGTCTTTGTCCTGTGCAGCCAATGCCTGCTTAATGCTGGCCGTTCATTGTTTAAAAGGACACTTTATCTCCAGACACTCCTTACCACAACAGTCACATATTGTGAGTCCGTCTGGAGATGCTCCGACTTCCGGAAAATTGGTGTTCACACAGAAACCACATAACCGAACCTGCAGATTGTGGTGATGCGATGCCATTATCTCGTTGTAGGCCTTTCTTGCGTCCTCTTCATGCTCGACACCCCACCTTGTTTGCACAGTAGAAAAGGTCCTTTCTGGGTAACACACACAAATCACAACACTATGGGCTGGAGTGTCCAAACTTGTAGCAAAACAGCATGCATAGCCGAAGCTGTGATTCTCCCTGCACGCCAGCGAAACCATGCAGGGGTCATGTGCTGCGATCTAGTCTGTGCTTCAATTTCTTCAATGTGGGTGACTGTGTAGTGTAGTTGGTGTAATAGTTTTCTATTCCACACAAACTCACTGCTTTGCTGTGGTCCTGCAGTGTATCCAGTAATGCTGAAAAATCCTCCAGCGTTGCAATAGGAATCTGCCTTTTTTGCGATCGCCTCCTTTTGCCTCTCGATGCAGAGGGTGTGTTTATGATTTCATCAAGACCAAGTTTTTGGGCAGCTGCTGAAGAGAAGTCAATGTTATGTGCAACCTCCGGCTGTATCTTGGTCATATTTCCGGGCAACACCCAATATGCAGGCTCGTCTGTTACAGTTCTGGTGCCTCTGATACGCACTGTAGTCTCAACTTTAAACCAAAGAGCAGCGACATGGGTGCAGGTCTCTGCGACTCTGGCCATGCATGTGCAGTGAGCAGCCTCAACCCTCCCATTGGTGTTCACAATGACCCATGGCTGTAATGCAGTTTCATTCAGTCGTTGTGAGTGCAGTACCTGAAACACACAAAAGCCACTTTTAATAAAAGGTCTGTAAGATGCACCAAGGCTAATATAGATGGGTTGGCTGTACGTGCAAATCAAAAACTGTAACAAGGAAGTTGTTTAGAAAGTTATCAAGTTCAAACCGACTTACCTTTGTCTTAACGACAACATTTTTAAGCGTGGAGGCTTAAAGATGGACAAATCTTGCACCCGGCCTTTTGTGAATTGGATGTGGGCCTCCAGGGATTTATAATTCTTAAACTGGTTCGCTGTGTATGCGCTGACTCCACAGACAAGGTATGCGAAGATATCGGGATAGGACAACGGCAGTAGGTCGTCTGGGTTTCCACTCCACTTCCTTATTTCATACGGGTCCACATTACCGGTGCACGCAATTTTTTCAAAGCACCGCTTCTTGACGTCTTGGTGCAATCGGTCGCGATACAGCCCTTTGTCTTTTGCGCTGATTTTGAGCATGGTTCTGGCAGTCCCGATTTCAACACTCCAACACTGTGCGCTTGTTTTGCTTTCTGGCCTACTGACATGGCACCGCAAACCCACAAGGCACTGCGGCGTGACGTTGGGTTTGACAACCACACTTGGGCACATAGTCACCAAAACACAGCAAACCTTAATAATCTTATCAAGCAGTGTTGTGTTTATTTCTGCTCTGCCCTGTTCATTGCACACACAATAATTCGTCTGCCCTATAGCTTCCGTGACGCTGTCTGTCCGATCACCACTGTCCACATTTGCAGCTGGTACCTCAACCTCCGTTTGTCCAACACAACTGCTGTCCACTGCCTCCATGACATTGTGATTTTTATTGTTGGCCTTCTGTCAGATCTTCATCGATCACTTCTGCACGGGGCACACCTTCAGACTCTGCAGCTGCATAACGAAAGCCTGTAAGATAAAATTAGTGCATACACATGAGGTAAATGTACACCAATATTCCAATGACAGGTGTGTGATTCATCTGGAAGTTATGTGCGGATTAGTGTACAATGAGAGCAATTTAGTATGTTTTTAGAGGCCCATGTGCAGTGTTGGTGCCCAGTCTGGATTTGTTACATCCATTTTATATGTTGCTTTGCCTGCAATAATGCTAAATCATAAGCTACTCAGTCGACATGTCGACATGACGTGGTTCTGCAGCATCACAAATTAGCATGTTTTATCTCATTATCTATGACTTCAGCGCATTGCAAATAACACTAAAAGCCTTTTAATAGTGATATGAATTAATTTAGAACTCACCAGAAAGAAAATGCCGTGAGCAAACCAACAAAAAGGTGTGGATTGCAGAGAGCTCGATATCTGCTTGTCTCACCGCTGCAATCCAAGCCTGATGTCTTTGTTTAGTAATATCGGATACATGGGATCCCTCACGTTGCCTCCAGGATGGAAAACGATGAAAAGAGAGCCCATTATCCAGCTTCTTGCCTTAACGATCGTGTGATCTAACGTTGCAACCGACAACTCAACACGTACGAACCATAGCTGAAGCTGTATCCTTTGTCTGGCCTACTGTCATGGCGGAGGGGGGCGTGACCCACCTCCCGTGACATCACGCCCAAAGCCCTATAAGTGGACCAGAGGACACCCCCAGCACTTTTCCCCCCTCTGCTGTTTCTCTCTGTCCATCTCTGTGTTGCTCTACTGTCTGTGCTTAAGGCTGTACACCCCGGGGTTTTGCTTTGCTTGCTTTCTGCTATGTAATTCTCTTGCTAAATGTCTGTATGTATTTTTCCTGCTGTTCATATGATTCAGTGTATTAAACTCTGTTCCAAGAATTCTACCCTTTTCCAGGGCATCTTTTTGAGTGTCTTGACTTTAATTGCGACCACAGCTGCTCAACTGAGATGGATGCCTTCCTCAAACCACAATCCAAAGCGCGCAAGACTGAAATCCTCATTTAACATTGCTATATTATTGACTTACTTCACTCGAACATGATATGGAAAATTTAATCTACCCTCTCTGCATATCATGTAATTTCTACACTATATAGTTACACTTAACTTTAAAGCATGAGGCAATTGTGTTAAATATGCTTACATAAATCCAAGAGATGGCCAATCCCTTTTTTCAGTGCAGATCAGAGGCCCAGGACCATGACGAGTATCTTTTTATTCATTGAAACCTTTTTTTTGCACATCCAGTCAGATTTCCGTGTGTCCATGAGTCATATCACTTTAAACAGTTGTTTAGAATTGGTGTTTAAAGAGGTGGAAGTATTATTACTTAAGCAATGTGTTTCAGTCTGTTGCCTTCGTCAGGCACATGTTTTAGTTATACTCTATAATCTATATAACGTAATGTGACTGAATGCAATTATTTTTTTGGAAGAAACATTTTTCAAAGCAGGTATGTTCATTTGTCTTTGTTGGTAAAGTGCAGGAGTTGATACTTTCTTTATTGGATTTCCACCGTCAGAACAACTTGAACTGTACACGAGACATTCAATAGTCACAGGAATTTACCTTTTTTTATTTATTGCAGTGATTTTCACTTATTCATGTGTTAAGTTCCATGAAGTATAACCAAGCTAAATTTTCTTTGTGCATAGTAATAATGCCAATTAAAACTACTGCTAAAGATCTGACCGGTGGGGCTCTTTTTGATGTCTGAAACGTGTGGGTCATTTCATTTAAAGAAGTTATTCACACTTCCGTACAATCTTTTTTTTCTCATGTATACATTTTTATTTTTGTATTAGTCTTTAAAAGCTAGAGCTAATGTCACTGTCCAAGTCAGTATTATCATTGTATCAGTATCATCATAATAGTAAAGAGTTTCTTTTGTCACAGGATGTCGCACATCGTCACTCCACATCAAACAGGCAGGAAACCATTGGTGTGTGACCTCTTTTTGTGTCTACACAGAGTATGAGAAAAAAAAAGTCAGTTTACGCTGTCACTTCTGCAAAGATGACACGACTCTACTGGGCCATGTTATTGATCGGGTTTTGTTCCAGTTCAGGTACGTCCACATCATTTTCTTAAAATATTTTATTGTTTTAATGCAGCTGAAATCTGCTTGCAACAATATTTACATAACTAATTTAGAAGGATAGCTTCAATGAGTGATTTACATCACGTTGATGTTTGCTGTGCGTTTCTAGTGCAGATGTCTCTGTTTTATTCTGTATTTGTCCATCATCTAATCAAACATGTTGCCTCTTCTATAACAGAGAGCACTATAATCATCAGAGAGCCTGGTGAGAGCATCACTTTGAAGTGCTCATCAGAAGGATGCCCCCAAAACAATGATGGATATGCTGGGATGTATCTGTATCATAACTTTATTGAACAGAAAGAGGTGTATTTCTATGGTAACTATGCCAACAGCAAAATCATGGAGCGACCACGATACGAAGGCAGGATTGAGTCAAACGGCGCTCCCATGAACCACAACATCACCATCAGCAACTTGACCGTGGATGATTCTGGTGTCTACACTTGTGTCTACAAAGAATCCGCTGACAAAGGTGTCAACTGCAATGTCTACACAGTTTTCGTGAGAGGTGAGTTTCTTTTCTTCCTTGTTAAAAATTCTGCGACCTTGTTCTGCAGCTCACAAGCCTGTAGAATCAGCCAAGGACAGTGGTCTGCATGCAGTATTTAGAGAGTCAAGATCTGACCCTTACTTTTTGGCCCCAAATCTGCTTCTATCTTGATGAATATATGATAAATTACAGAAATATATGAGAACAGAATGAGGTGTATTTTTATAGCAATCATATCAGTGGCAAGATATGAAGGCAAGGTTGAGACTGAAGGAACCTCTATGAACCATAGCATCACAATAACCAGTCTGACTGTGGATCATTCTGGTGTCTTCACTTGTGTCTACAAAAAATCATTTGACCATAGAGTCGTGCAGCGTCTACACCGTTTTCATACGTGTGTTTTCTTCTTGTTAAAAACGCCACAATCTTGTCCAGTGACTCACAAAAGAGTTGGCCAAGTGCAGTGCAGTGCATACCCTGTACCTGTTACATATTTAATAGATAACCCTTACCTTTTGACTTTTTGAGAAAATGCAGAAACATGTATGAAAAAGCAACAATTTAATTAATCTACTTGTTTTTGTTTTTTTACCTATACAGTCATGATGTTACAGCTAAATGGGTCTTTTGGTTTTTGGCAGAGGTAGCACTATATATAAACACTGTTTATTAAAAAGCCTAATCACTATATTAACACAACAGTGGCTAGATTTAGCTCTTTGACTTATGTAAAATACAGTTGTTTGCTTTTAATATAGTTAATTTTCTACAAAATTTTAAATGAACTGAAACATCATACACAAGTACATTTACATCTCTTCTTGTCTATGTGATACATACAAGGGAGTTTTAGTTTATATGCTCTCTCCTTTAGGTTTATCAGGATTTGCAAATTTACTCTTAGTGAGTGGTCTGCAAGCTAAAGAAATTCCACGAATGTAATAATTATAGCAAATCTTTTGTGCAGCTGCAAGACAACAACACATTTGTTTTCCTTTATTCTCACAGAAGTGGCACCATGCCTGGGACAAGATGACCTTCCCACCTCGGTGTTAGTTGTCATTACCTGCACGTACCTTAGCGTGCTGTTAATCATAATCTTTATCCTACTGATAGTCCACAGGGTGAGTTGACTTGATTACATAGCTGTCCTATATTGTATTTTAAAAAACAAGAACATGCCCTTATATGGGGACAGTGAGTTTATTTTTACTGCATCAGAAAAGAGTTTAAGGTGCAAAAAAGTCACAAAAGTAATGTCCCCATGAGAGAACACAGAGTCTCAAGGAGTTAAAATGTTTTTACAGTATGCAAGATAATCTATTCCAGTTCTGCAAGCTATGACACACTGCCTTTCTGTCTGTAGAGTTTCACAACACTTTGATGTAACTGCTGTGACCGTGATAGATGTTGTTGTGCTGAGAGACTGATAACATCTAAAACCACCACTTTATATATACTCCTTGTTCTGTTGTTTCTTGGAAGACTATAAACTATTCACACTTTGGCACAGGTTATATAACAGATGAATTATTAATAACATTATGACTTACTTTCCCCTTTGACATACATACTACCGACAGGTGAAACAAAGGAAGAGCTGCAGAAGATTATCCAGGAGTTCGCAGCAAGAACCAGATGATTATGTGTATGAAGTTATGACCAAGAACAGCCTCTACACTTTGGCAACTTCACCGCAGCAATCTTAAAGTCCTTATGAGTTTTCTTAGAATTACAGTATAATTATTGTGGTTAACAATAGAATTTAGGAATCTGATTGTGTCTTATTGATTTTGTTAATAATGGTTAATGGTTTGCCTGGACTCATGGACCATATCAATCATGCTCCATAAAGTCTCATTAAAAATTAAAGTTTAAAAGTTATTAAACTCTCAGAAATGAATGAAAGCCATGCAGGAGGCACAGTGACTGTCCCACAGGAAGTATGCAAACTGATCACCAAAGCTATTTATTACTTTGTCTATAGAATTTATATTACTGTGGAGCACAACATTTGCACAATAAAGCTTACTGATTTGTTCAATTCCAACATGAATGCAATTGGTGAGTGTTTCTGGCTTCTTTACTGCAATATAGGGCAAACATTTTTGAGGTTTGTGGGGGAGGGATGGATGAGATGTGAGCAGAAACCAACTAAGAAGACGGGCAGGAGCAGATGGGTAAATGGTTTACATGACTAACTGCAGATTTTGCACGATATATTATTACAGACGATTATTTTTTTTTACCATAAAAAGGTGTATAAAACAAATAAATGTACAATAAAAAAACATGCTTTTTTCCAAGTAAATATATATTTCTAAAGGTGCTATTGATGTGAAAGTCTCACTAGGTTTCAGTAACAATCCATACAATCCACAAAATAAGAAATCAAACCACTAATGTGCAATAATGAGAAATCACAGAGAAAAAGTATTGAAAATGCTTAATGAAATGTATTTAACATTTCATACAAAAACCTTGTTGGCTGTATGGAGAACCACGCATTGCTCTGGTTTGATTGTGGTTCATTTGTCCACACAAAAGTTTTGTGGGCCCTCTGAGCTTTAGTTCTTTACATTTTCAGCTGGATTCAGGTCAGGTGATTGGCTCGGCTATTCTAGCAAACTTTATTTTCTTTTTCTGAAACTACCTGAGAGTTTCCTTGGCTGTGTGTTTCTCATCATTGTTTTGCTGAAACATCCACCCTCATTTCATCTTCGTCATCCTGGTTGATGGCAGCAGATTGTTATCAAGACTGTCTCGGTACATTTTTCCATTCATTCTTCCTTTAATTATATGAAGTGTGCCAGTGTCGTCATGCTGGAAAACAGCCCCACACTGTGATAATCCCACCTCAAACCTCACTCTTGGTGTAGTATTTTTGGGGTGATATGCAGTGCCTATTGACCTACAAACCTGGTGTGTATTATGGCATTCAAAGACTTAGATTTTGGTCTGATCTGACTTTCAGCTTCTGTAAATGTTGTTCAGTTGCTGATTCATGTATTCGTATTTATGTTTTTGTGTTACAAATGCTTATAAATTCTCATATTTTCTCCCCCTCCCTTTTTAAAAAATTGTCATACTACAACTATAATGTCATAATTGAATTAACAGTAATAAAAATTCATAAATAAACAGATAAAAGAAACACACACAAGAGGAGCCTGTAGAAAACTTATAGAGCTCCCCTTGTAAAAGCAAAATATGATGGCACAACAGTGCATTCAGATCATAACTCTGATTGCAAAAGCTGTCAGACATGACAGGATTTTAAAACAAAAAAACAACAAAAAAACAGATCATTCTGAGATGGAAATCATGGCTCAGGATGCTGAGGAAATGGCTGAGCGTCAGTCTTCACTGGATCATTGCACTAGTGTTTCCCAGCTCTTTGACACTGTGAATGTTGTTCCCTTGCCTGTGAAAGAGTTTCTTACCTGCTTTTGCGGTGCAGGGGTTTGCCTGAAACCTTAAAACCCATGGACACGTAGTTGTGAGCAGCCTCTTGTCTTGAAGTGAGCATTTGGATTTGAATTTTTTTGGATACTGTGGAGAGTCTAAAAGGAGACTGGGACTGTCACTGTTTTTCATTTGGATGTTATTGAAAATTCACTGTAAATGCATTGAACTCTGACCCGGAGTCCACATTTGAGTCCTGCATTTGAGTTCTGCCTGTTCCTAGAACCTCGGCAGGGAATCTGTGGTATAAACTTCATGTGTTTGTTAAAGCAACTGCACACATTCAGAGAGTACAGGCAGAGAATAATTTAAGCCCCAGTATACTAACCTTTTGCTCTGAGGTCTGTGTGTGCATAATAACATCAAGCAATGGGGCATATTCAAACCACAGGAAGATGTGGGAGTGGGAACCGCTTTGTTTGTCTTGATGCCCTTTGCTGAAGCAGTATCTGATATGCATAGATGTATCTTCTTACTTCTACTTTTATGTTGTCGGTCAAGGTTTTAAAGAAAAATTAAATCCCTTGAATTTCTGGGATGGTGGCAAGTTGTTGTGTCTTTGTGTATGTGTGTGTAAGACTTTGTGTGTTGCTATTAAATGCTACTAATTAAGTTCCACTGAGCTGATCTTGCAGATGCTGCATTTTTAACTTCTCAACTGTAACAGCATGGGATTTTCCCAATAACTGTCGACATGCTAAAAGATTGCAGATTATTCTTGCTGTTAGCAAATCAAATCAAATCAAAAGAGTAAAAAGAAGGATTTATAATGTAAAAAATAATTTATTATGCTTTTATGAAATATATTAATCTCAATTACAAAACAATATATGGGACAGCCTTACTTATAAAGGTTAGTAACTTACATGCATGTGGTGTACAAAATATTAGCTTGTGGACAAAATGTATTATTGTTTGTACATATTTGCGGATTTTTTTCACTTTACTTTAATAAAAATAGATTAAAAACAAGAATAACCAGGACAGGCAGGATTTGTTGTGTAAAAAATAACATGCACTGTTACACGAACAGCTACTGGTTCCATTTGTGACTGTATCCAGAAAAAAGCCCCTTAATATGAAACAGACCTTTACGGATCTGTTTCCCTTTCACACACTGACATGACTGAAGCTCCGTCTACAACATGTAAACTCAGTTAACTCAATATAGATGTTATTACCTCCTGATCTCTTCCCACAGATATATTTGCTTCCATTAGACCTTGTTTTCACCTCCTCATAGCTGCTGTCATGTCCAATTTTCTTGTGAATGGTCAAAAACAGTCAGTGTTTTTGCTCGTTTTCTTAATAAACACACGTGAACCAAATGTCAACTTAAACTAAATTAGACTAAAACATGTCATCATTTATTCTTCTGATAATCCTAAATACCTTATGACATCAGAAATCTGCATATGGACACAAGATCTCTGTGAGTGCAATAAAAATGTCAGAGCTGCACAGATTTATAACCATGCAACAAACTGTCCCACAAAGTTGTGTATTTACAGCCGTTTGTTGCACAAGAGCTTTCATCAAGTTGAGATTTGAACTTCCTCACAGCTGTCAGGACAAGTTTGTTTTTTTTCTGCTCAATTTCAGGTGAAGATTTGTAATATTGTGCCATTATTATGGATGTTTCCTATATCAAACAGATGACCTGTAAAGTAACTTCAATAGGATAACATATAGATGTTCTGGGTGTTTTTCTCATCATAAATAAACCAAAAAAAGGAGGTTTGTGAGCAAAAAAAAGAAAAAAAAGAAAAAAGAAAAGAAAGGTGGATTCCTGCTTATTATTCAGTTATGGGGATATTATTTCTCTTCTTCTTGTTAAGTATATCCTTTATTCTTTGAACTTGTTGTCCAGACTGCAGCTTGCATTTGAACATCACATTTTGTTGCAAAAAGTAAATTCAGGATGAAGATAAGGGAACAAACATTTCAGGTACCTGCGCCTTTCAGACTGGCCAACAAATATGGCTTAGATCCATTCACCATCATAGTAAACAATGAGAGCATTCATTGGAGGGCAGCTGTTCTTTCTGATGTCAGTTCCACCTTGTTCTGTTGTGACAGGCCACCTGAACAGGTGTGTCAACAAAGTACGGGGCATCAATTTAGCTTTTCCTTAGCTACAGTAATCTTACTCGTCTGTGTGTATAGGTCTGTGGAATACAATATTTTTGTTTTTGTTTTTTAATGTTTGACAAATTTGAGTTATTTTATTTTGAAGGTGTTATTCACTTGTTCACCCACTTGTTCTTCATGCGTTTTCATTGAGCCATATCAGTCTTTACGTGTTGTAATCTAAATCAGTAACTGACTGAATGTAATGGCTTTATCTGACAGGATGCACACATCTTCAGTCTACATCAAACATACAGGAAACACTGCTTGCTGTCTCTTCTGTGTGTGTATATACAGAGTGTGAGAAACTAATTAAGCATCATATGCTGTCACTGCTGCAAAGATGATGCTGTGTTTGACCTTATTATTGATTTGTTATGACGCATATTCAGGTATGTCCATTTATTTTCCTTATTTCTCCAAATATTTAAAGGTTTTGATTTTAAGTCTGCTTGGAACAAGACTAGAGGATTTTCTTTTTAAATTTTGCCTTGTTACTATATTACTATATGTACCCTTGACAGATTCTAAAAAGAAATAAGGATGTTTAGTCACTGCTAGTGCGAATGGCTCTGTTTTATGTTATATTTTACACCCTGTAATCAGACATTTTGCCTCTTTTATAACAGAAGGCACTATAATCATCAGAGAGCCTGGTGAGAGCATCACTTTGAAGTGTTCCTCAGAAGAATGCCCCCAAAACAATGATGGATATGCTGGGATGTATCTGTATCATAACTTTATTGAACAGAAAGAGGTGTATTTCTATGGTAACTATGCCAACAGCAAAATCATAGAGCGACCACGATACGAAGGCAGGATTGAGTCAAACGGCGCTCCCATGAACCACAACATCACCATCAGCAACTTGACCGTGGATGATTCTGGTGTCTACACTTGTGTCTACAAAGAATCAGCTGACAAAGGTGTCAATTGCAATGTCTACACAGTTTTCGTGAGAGGTGAGTTTCTGTTTTTTCCTCGTTAAAGATTCTGCGACCTCGTCCTGCAGCTCACGTGCTTGTAGTATCAGCCTAGCACAGTGGACTGCATGCACTGGCTAATTAGAGATTCAAGATCTGACCCTTACTTTTTGGCCCCCATCTGCTTCTATCTTTGATGAATAT